CATATTTTCCACCATGTTTTCCCTAATGGTAATTCAATTGAAGGGACAGGACATTTCGGAAAATATTAAATATGTCGCTATTTTTTTCTGGTGACATAGGATTCGGACATGCTAACTGGATTATCCGCCAGTTGAGTTAATCAGACATGGAGGTAGCCTACGTTCTTTTGGTATTATGCGCTCATAACACCAAACCATTACAATACGGAGATCTATTATTATCTTAGCCTGTGTAGCAGGCTAGCAGCCAATTTCTTGGGAGGGGACTCGCAGGCAGGAAAAAATTAAGGCGGGCGAAAACGGGAGGGCGAGAATAATTCTTGTCTATATCAGATTATTGCTGTATGCACCTAACACGATTTTTTTCCTTATGGTAAGCGAACAGCTAGTATTTTATTTATCATTCCCATATAGCCAACATCAAACATGAGGGCAGACAATGGTGCTTTTACCCCGCCCATGGATAAACTGGAACAGGCTTTGGACCTTATTCGTGACGCAATTTCCGGTGCTGGATACAGCTTTGAAGATGACGTCGCTCTTGCTGTAAACTTTGCGACCAAAGACATTTATGACAAGGTATGTTGAAGTCTAACCTTTATCTTTTAACGTCGAAATTTTGTGTAAATAAGCTAATTTTTTTTATTTTTTAGGATAAACAAAAGTATGAGATATGCTTGAATACTTTTAAATCCTGCGACGATTTAGTCAACGTTTATGTTGATTTGTGTGAACGTTATCCTGAAATAAAGGTTTTCGTCGACCCTCTTCTTTCGCATGTAAGGAAATTTCACTTTACGTTATTTCGAAACAAGGTTGTGTACCGCTATTTTTGCTACGCTGTGTATTAACTCGCCACCACAGAAATAGTCGCCACCAACCTATATGAGCATGTGTTGTGATTGGTTGATTGTAACAATGAAACTAAACAACACGTTTTCTAAGGAATGAACCACAAACACCGATTACTTTATTTGTATACAGCTATTTCAATTAAGGTTGTCCCCCGAGCAAAGCGGAAAAGTCGAATACAAGCGCGAAGGGCTGCTGCATGGGAATCGCTAATAAACGAATGAATTTATTATAGTGATTTCCAGCAGTCTTTTGCGCTCTTATTCGTACTCGCTTTTAGCTGTAAGCGTAACAATCACGAAACATGTTCACTTTAAGGTCAATATTTATCCTGTGTAGTTAAAAGTAGACCTCTTTCAACTGTTAGTTCTATCGAGCCAGATGCCCCAAAATCTCGATAATTTATTTACCCATACCTTATACTGACATCACCCAGACACCCACTATACATGGTGTATAAAAAAAAAACTGAACAGATTTGAAATTGCTCTCAATTTCGCAAAACACCTATTTGTATCTGTTTTTATATATATAGCTTCTTTGGGTACTTATAATGTAAAATAATGAAAAAAATTTCCCGAACTCAAATTTTGTGAACCAGGGGGGGGGGGTGTCTTTTCCAACAAACTAAAAATGGCTCGCGCACAAAATTTAAAAGCTGTAATAATATTTTGAGTTGATAGATTGAACCTTTGTCGGGTTTTTAATTACTGTACAAAATTTCAGACAATTTGGTTTACAGCTTTTTTTAAAGGTAACTATTCATTTTGTTCTAAAAAGTCAGCCTTTCGCATGCTTAATTAATGCTTTTACCTAATTTGCATTTTGTTGACATATGCAAATTAGGCAAATGCATTAATTAAGCATGCAAATAGCTGATTTTTCGGGAAAATTGTAACTTTGCGTGAATAGTCAAGGGGCTTAAACTAAACCAAATTGTCTGAAATTTTGTACAGTAATTAAAATCCCGACAAATTTTCCATCTGTTAACTCAAAATATGATTGCAGCTTTTAAATTTTGTGCGCGAGCCATTTTTGGTTTGTTGGAAAAGACACGCCCCCCTGGTTCACAAAATTTGAGTTCGGGAAATTTTTTTCATTATTTTACATTATAAGTACCCAAAGAAGCTATATATATATAGAAAACCAGATACAAATAGCTGTTTTGCGAAATTGAGAGCAATTTTAAATCTGTTCAGTTTTTTTTTTGATACACCCTATATATACAGTACATACACATGAACTTGTGGTTAGAGCTCTACAACTCGCCTCTGTAGCTCAGTTGGTTAGAGCGCTGCACCGGAAGCGCAGGACAACAGGTTCGATTCCTGCCAGAGGGCCGATATAGTTGCATTTTTCGCAACTGCTCTTGGTCAGGTCTAAAAATTGTATATAATCTTCCGCTAAGAAATTTTCACATACAAAATCCTTCAACTGTCACAGTAGTTCTACCGAGTTACATGCCCAAAAATCTCGATATTCAGCCGTACCTTCAACTAACTATATAACTATCTGTTCATTATAGGATCGCGAAGGATTCTCTAAGCTAAACGAGAGAATAGGAGGAAATTGTTTCGTAATTAATCAAGAGTCTTTCTCGAACAACCCCAAGGTTCTGAGAAAAACTTTGAAGGAGGGTTTTGTTTCTGGAAATGTTATGAAAATGGAGAACGCGTCAACAGTTCCACAGCTCTTCCAACAACTAAAAGCCATCGAAGGTTGGATTTCTTAGAAATTGAATATTGTTAATTATTGTTACGGAGTCAACACGTGACATTTTAATGATCAATTTTTGTGTGATTATGTAGACTGTCCCAGAATCCTTTTCGTTTCTCCAAATGAAGTAGAAACTCACGAACATTTTATGGTGGATATGGTGAGTCTAAACATCAAGATTTTGTTGTTATCGAGTGGAAATTTATATACATTTATATATATATATATATATATATATATATATATATATATATATATATATATATATATATATATATATATATATATATATATATATATATATATATATATATATTAGACCAAGCCAGGAACAACTGCGAAAAAATGCAACTGCATGTAGGTCCTTGTAAGTGCAACTATAGGTCTAATAAATGTATATAAATTTCCATTCGATAATTTCCATCTACAAGACCCTTGATATATTTACCCACAACCTAACCTGGCTGCAGTATATATATATATATATATATATATATATATATATATATATATATATATATATATATATATATATATATATATATATATATATATATATATATATATATATATATATATATATACGTGAACTTGTGGTTGAGCTTGACAACTGGATTCGGTAGCTCAGTTGGGTTAGAAAAACAATTTTGGAACAACTGGAGTTTTCTTTTCTGAGGTTTTGAAATAAACGGACGTGTAGAAATCATAGATATCTTATATACACTATAGATAGTGCATCTAATTATTCTGCAATTCAAAAATTGAAGCCGTGATTGCAGTCTCAGGTCGTTCCCATGAAATGAGAGAAGATTTGTATATTTCCTATTTTTTAAACAGGGAACTTAAATATTAAGTTAACCCTAATACATTTTTAAAGTATTCAAATGATGAAAGTTATTGTTGTTTTTAAGTGTTTATTAGCGAGTGGGAACGACCAACATGGCCGCCATCTATTCAAATGGGGGTAACCGCTGGAATATTGGAGATGCGCTATCTAGCGTATATAAGATATCTATGGTAGAAATACACAAACTAAAACCATTCCTTTTCCCTAGGCTGTTGCAGTTCAAGCAGATTTTATCGTATTTGGGGGTCCTGGACGCTCGGACAATATCAGGAAATATAACAGACTGCAAGCAATTGAACACGAGTTGAATGTTCTAAACATTCTTGTGCATAAAGAACCGCTGATACCACTGCACACAGATGCTCCAACAGAGCTCGAGAGTGGTGAAAATACGACGTGATAGATTAATTCTCTTTATAAGTATTGCTTAAAGATTCTCAGTTTTTGAGTTAAATCGCGTTGTTAGGAAGTTTCCTATATCGAATCAAAACACGACTAAGTCGGACGATAGAGATATAATGTATATATATGTTAAACTTGTAAATACAGACCAATTTTAGGTCAATCACACTGCTTTCGTACTGTACAAGACAGGACGCCATTCACGATCGTACGAAAATATTTTTTGGTTCCAGTCCATTTGCATGGTTCATAATGCAGTTAGCCAAGAGGGCACGCCCGATTTCATGGGTTTCGTATACCAACTTGCAAATTTGCGTACGATTTTGTCGACTCTGTGTCAACGCTCTGTGTAATGTATACAGCTAATTCAATTAAGGCTGTCCTTCCAAAAGCTTAAACCTTAAACTCTGAGCGCGCAAGGGATGATGGGTTATTGCTTATTTAGACTCGTAAACTTTGAAATTTGGCTTTGCAAGAATACCCGAGACATATAGAAGACTCACGACAGAAAACATACTTGCTGTAAAGGCAATTTTCTGAGTTTGTGGGTCTAATGTGAAAAACCATCATCCCTTGCGCCCTCAGAGTTTAAGCACCTTAAGGTTGTTGCCACGACAACGTCATGAAGACGAGCTCATCAACAATAGCATTTATTCCAAGACAAAAGCAACTAACAAATTATATTCCACAAAAAATGGAAGTAACTTTGTTTTCTGACGTTGCTGTTGTGCTGTAATTTCCCAAACTACAGTAATATAGTAACTATAATTATAAGTGATTTGATTGTTCTCAACTGCTTTGAGTTAGTGATACAAAAGAGATCAATTATAACTTCATTTTAATGCTGCTTGTACTGTACAGGGTATTTCATTGAGTTGTTCGTACATTTCCCACAAGTAGAAAGTCAAAATTGTTTTACCGGTCGCTAACTTGTTCGAAGCAATTATAGCTTGTCAGATGAATTCAATAGAATACGGCGTTATGCTTGATTAAAATTCGTAAGTCTATACTTTTTTATACACGCTGTATATTGTTGTAAATATATGAACACGTTAGCCACTCAGTGCAAAACGTGAAAGAGAAATGTTTTGCCTGTAATTTGATCAATGGCCTCCCTTTAGATATAGACTTTGCATGCAGTGATCCAGTGATTGGGATCCTTCATTGTTCTTTCGTTGTTTGGAAAATCCCACTGTTCTCCGTGCATGCAATCCAGTCAACTCATTGTTTTGAATTTAGCATTTGTTATGGAACAAATGCCAATTTGTTATAAGATGTACAAATATACCAGGTGAATGTACAGGGTGTATCAATAAAAACGCAAACTCGGAATTTCCCAAGAAATCACTTTGCAATTCTTAAGCATAAAAGATTTTAGGCCCTGGGAATTGAAATCGAATTGCTAATAGATCATATTACTGTTGTTGTGCATTAAATAAATGCATAAATTTTGCTTTATGCACTCGCGTGTGCAGTAATTTTGACAGTTATGCTATTTTAAATTCCCATGCAGGCGCCTAAAATCTTTTGTCTTTAGAACAATGTCGATTTCTTGGGAAATTCCGAGGTTGCGCTTTTTTTGATACACCCTGTAGACTAGCTCTCATGCATAATCATCCATGCGTTCTATCAACAGCTTAACATATTCACTTTTATGATGCATGTTTCACGTTGCTTTCAACTGCCTATTCAAATTTAATTAAAAATTCAAGTTGAATTATTTATTCATTATTTAGCTATTGTTTTAATGAAAACGGCAATTCCCCAAGGACACACAAAGAATGCACCAGTAAGCTTTGCATAATTTCGACCAATGATAGCTTTGTATATTCTCGACCAATCATGATTCGTAAGCTTCATATGTTAGCCAATAGGAAGCCAGATTGAGCCACACACCCACCGCGTGCTTTTTGGGTGGAATGTCGCTCATCCAGTCGCTTCTGTCAAATGAGTCGTTACAAGCGAAGTGGATCAGACTGGTATTATTTAACTCTGGTGGATTTGAAATGAAACTGAAGTACTATCTGCACTTATTCTCAGCAATTCTTGATGTCATATATGTCTTCTGGAGTTGTGGTGCTGTTCTAAGTCGATATCAAGCAGGTATGAAGTTGTTTTGTCGCTTTACTTGTTGTGAATATATGATTAAATTTTGCCGTTCGTATGTGGCAAGCTCTTTCAAGACGAAGTCGAAGGCCGACTGTATGTTCTCAGCTTCAACCAAAATTCATCGAACTTGCCATTAAACGTTGTCTCTGCTAGGTTTTAAAGACTTCGGACTATACTTTGTCTGTGATTTTATCGAGTTCTAAGTAAAAATTCATCCATACCGGCACGAGTCCCGTTTGAGCGAAGTCAAAGAAATAGCTTTAAAGTCGAAGAACACTTTCTAGCTCGTGTCAAAATAACTTTAAATTTAACTTTGATTGGCTTGAAACTAACTTGATTTCTGTTCTAATTTGTTCTAATGGCTTTAACTCGAGATCTAGAGTTCCTATATAGACTAATTCTTGGTAAAATGGTTTAGAATTTCGAGTGATATTCTGTGTTTGTACTGAATACTGTAAATGTATGATTTCACATATTCTCGATATTAAGGTAGAGAATTTGTAGGATTAAGCAAATTGATAAGTTCTTGACTTGGTTAATTCTTGCCAATGTGAAAGTTTGTTGTAGAATTAAACTACGAGAAGTATAGGCTAATGTCGCGGAAAGTTTTGAAAATATTTTTACATACATCCAGCATCTATCTAAAGCTTGATTTCAATACTCATTATTCTTATTTTTCTATTTCAGATCGCACCCGTTCATCATGTAGGCCTGAACCTGGCCCTTTTACCACACCAGGTGGATATATTTAAAAGTGAAACTGAAGTGGCTATATTATATATTTGCAATTATTCTGAGCAGTTCTTGATGTTCTATATCTCCCTGGTTCTGTCCTAAAGTCCATCTCAAACAGGTATATATGTGTTTTGTCGCTTTACTTAACTCTATTTGTTGTGAATATATATAAATTTTGCCGTCCCCTATGACGAACTCGTTCAAGACGAAGTCGAAGGCCCGACTGCATGTTAGAAGCAATGTCGCATATAAGAAGCAATTAATGTCGCGTCAAGTCTAAGCCAGAAAGTTTTTTACATACAAACTATTTTTACATATATCCATCCATATAAAGTTTGATTGAATATTTATTCTTTTTTTCATTTCAGATCGCACTGTTCATCAGGCTAATTCAACCTGGCCTTACCCGGCACATCAGCTAGCTGGATTTAAATTGAATCTAAAGTGCTATGACTATGTGCACTTATTCGCAACAGTTCTTGGTGTTCTATACGTCTTCTGGTTTTGTTGTTCTAAAGTCGATCTTCAACAGGTATAATGTTTTGTTGAATTCTCCATTAAACATTGTCTCTACTAGGTTTCATAAAACGTTTTTGACTATACTTTGTCTGCGATTTTAATCAAGTTTTTTAAGTAAAATTTCCGATCCGTACGACACGAGTTTCGTATGAGCGAAGTCAAAGAACTTGTTATCCCATGCATGTATCAAAATGACTTCAAATTGGACTTGATTTCTGTTCTAATTTAATGAATTTTTACAAAATTGTGAAGCCAATGCATGGCAATGCATGTGAAAGTTTGTTCTATACAATTAGACTATGAGATGAGAAGCAATGTCGCGTTAAGTCTAAGCCAGGATTTTTTTACACATCCGACATCTATGTAAAGTTTGATTCAATACTCATTATGCTTAATTTTTCTGTTTTAGATCGCACTGTTCATCAGGCCTCAACCTGGCCCTTACCACATCAGGTGGTAAACCCGCACTGGGCGGTCAAGTAATTTTTTAACTCTGCACTTTTTGTTTTACTGCCCGAATTTTTTACATGCATAGTCGTCATCAGGACACATGACTTTAGGTAGACGTGCTCTTGCATGCTGAAATATTTCATTCAACTAGTGATTTCGAGGTGTTGGATAAAATTTGGAGAAAATGCTATAGACCAGGAGTTGGTATATATCAAGCAGCTATAGAATATATCTACCTTGTATAAATGTAGCAAATTTTCTTCTACTAAAGTGAGGAGAGTTGCATGAAGTATTTCACGGTGCATGCATTAGCGTGTTTACAAGAGGAGTTGAGAGAGCCCTGCTCATCTTCCTTGACAAACATTTAAGACCACAAGATCTAGGCTCTGTTAGGATTCCAGTTAAGGCCACAACATAACGAGTGAAATAAATTCGTTAACTAGTTAGGTTAGGACTCAAGCGTGAAAACGCATAGTTGACCCCTTCAGGCATCGATCCCCAACACGTTTCCGCAATAGGACTTTTATTTTTGTCATCTTGGATGTGCTGTTGGGTCATGGATTATTACACTATGCTGTTGGGTAACTGGATTATTACACGGATTATATTATCATGTGGATTATTATACATCATTGTGGATTATTATACATCGTCATTGTGGATTATGGATTATTATTACAGCCGCCGCAATGGAAGGATGAGATCGGTATCTCATCCAGAAGAACGAAGACGTCGTGAGGTTAGAGCTGTGTAACCCTGGCGGTAAAAAAAATTTCGACATTTTCGTATTTCGGACTTTGTGCATGTTTCAACGAAACCTGGTTTAGTTTCATGTGTTAGGAAACCTGAAGATATAAGTAATGCCCCTCTGGCAGTAAAGTGAAGTGACTCCCTACCCCAGCCCCCCCCCCTGCATGTGTGGGAGAAGCCTTTTACTGTCAGGGGGAGGCCATGGAATTTTATAATGGATAAACTGCATAATGAAATATCGTTCCCCTAGCATAAGTACTGCACGATGCATGATATATTTTCTTGAAAATTTTTCTGAAAAGCATGCATGCACCACCAGGGAATTATATAAGGATGTTGTGTGTTTATTATGATTACGTGTGTGTGTTTATATTATTGTGCATGTCGTTATCTGCATGTATATACGAGTTACAATTCGGAATTTTCGGTGCGCGATAGGATAAGGTGCGCTGATAAAGGGGGGATGCCCCATATTGTACATATCATCCATAATAATGATTAGGCTATAGGAATATATTTATGATTAGGTGAATAAGTGAATTATGAAATAATTGTTACTTATAAATGTATATTAACGAGCTACAGCTCGAGAAATTCGGTGCGCGATATAGGTTAAGGCGGCAAAACGCGCTGATAAGGGAAGGGGGGGGCGGGGGTTGCCCCGGAATATATATCAAAGATTATATTATAGGATGTGATAAAATATATAAGACATGCTTACAGTGTACTTAGAAATTTGGCATCATATTTGTCAAATTTGATTTCCTATAAAAAAATTCAGAATCTAAAACTTAGTAGCCTAATGTCATACAAAATTATGCTCGTAAATTTGGCATCATATTTGTCGAATTTAATTTCTTGAAAATATTACAGTCTAGATGCTTAAGACAATGGCAACAAGCAAACGGTATAAACTGCACACCTGCCAGTTGGCATCACGTTTGTCAAACTTGATTTTCTTTTTTAAAAAAGTTCGGAATTGACAGCAATAAAAAAGCAGTATAAACTGCAGTTTTGTGTTTGGCATCATATTTGTCAAACATAATTTCTTTAAAAAATTCTAGAAATATAATAAATTATTTAGTCCCAGCAGAAATATAAACTATACATAATAAAAATTTGGCATCATATTTGTCAAATTTGATTTCAATAAAAAAAATTCAGAATACACATCACATACACATATACTGCACATTTTACACATAACACTGATCTATATATATATATATATATATATATATATATATATATATATATAAAATAATGAACTGTAGTTGTTGCAACTATAGTGTTATATTGTGTATGACTTGTAAATAGGTAAATGATTTTTAATCAAAATAAAAGAACAAAAACTGTTATCTACATGTCTCTTTCTTCATGAGGAATTAGTCCCTCGGGGGAGCCCTAAAAATAACTTCGTAAACTAAATACTTTCAGAAATATTCTTATAGATTTTCATGGAATGGAAAAATCAGTAGTTCAAGAATCTCCATTCCTCCGAATATCAAGTTGAAAGGCATTAGACGGCCTAATTTTTTAAAAATTTGTAATAGCTAAATATTTGTTGAAATCAATAAAAGCTCAGAAATTCTTGGTCTATAGTGTTTCTTCTTTAATTAACAAGACGCCCCCTCCCTCCCTCCCCCGTTTAAATTCGTAAACTAAACACTTCTCAAGTTTTCTTATAGACGTAGCCTACATCGAATACAGAATTCCGAAGTTGAAGAAAATCTAGACTCCTTCAAATATCAAGTTGAAAGACATTTGAATACATGATATTCTATTCAAGATTATTGACTGGAAGTTTACGAGATGGAAGATGACCTACATTTTTGTACAATTTGTAATAGCTAAATATTTGTTGAAATCAATAAAAGCCCAGAAATTCTTGGTTTATAGTCTTTCTTCTTTAATTAACAAGATGCTCGCCCCCCCCCCTCCCTCCCCCGTTTAAATTCGTAAACTAAACACTTCTCAAGTTTTCTTATAGCTTACATCAAATACAGAATTCCGAAGTTGAAGAAAATCTAGACTCCTTCAAATATCAAGTTGAAAGGCATTTGAATACATGATATTCTATTCAAGATTAATGACTGGAAGTTTACGATCGCGAGATGGAAGATGACCTACATTTTTGTACAATTTGTAATAGCTAAATATTTGTTGAAATCAATAAAAGCTCAAAAATTCTTGGTCTATTGTGTTTCTTATTTAATTGACAAGATGCCCCCCTCCCCCGTTTAAATTCGTAAACTAAACACTTCTCAAGTTTTCTTATAGACCTACATCGAATACAGAATTCCGAAGTTGAAGAAAATCTAGACTCCTTCAAATATCAAGTTGAAAGGCATTTGAATACATGATATTCTATTCAAGATTAATGACTGGAAGTTTACGATCGCGAGATGGAAGATGACCTACATTTTTGTACAATTTGTAATAGCTAAATATTTGTTGAAATCAATAAAAGCTCAAAAATTCTTGGTCTATTGTGTTTCTTATTTAATTGACAAGATGCCCCCCTCCCCCGTTTAAATTCGTAAACTAAACACTTCTCAAGTTTTCTTATAGACCTACATCGAATACAGAATTCCGAAGTTGAAGAAAATCTAGACTCCTTCAAATATCAAGTTGAAAGGCATTTGAATACATGATATTCTATTCAAGATTAATGACTGGAAGTTTACGATCGCGAGATGGAAGATGACCTACATTTTTGTACAATTTGTAATAGCTAAATATTTGTTGAAATCAATAAAAGCTCAAAAATTCTTGGTCTATTGTGTTTCTTATTTAATTGACAAGATGCCCCCCTCCCCCGTTTAAATTCGTAAACTAAACACTTCTCAAGTTTTCTTATAGACCTACATCGAATACAGAATTCCGAAGTTGAAGAAAATCTAGACTCCTTCAAATATCAAGTTGAAAGGCATTTGAATACATGATATTCTATTCAAGATTAATGACTGGAAGTTTACGAGATGGAAGATGACCTACATTTTTGTACAATTTGTAATAGCTAAATATTTGTTGAAATCAATAAAAGCTCAGAAATTCTTGGTCTATAGTGTTTCTTCTTTAATTAACAAGATAGTTCCCCCCCCCCCTCCCTCCCCCATTTAAATTCGTAAACTGAACACTTCTCAAGTTTTTTTTATAGACATACATTGAATACAGAACTCCGAAGTTGAAGAAAATCTAGACTCTTCCAAACATCGTGTTGAAAGCTACGGCATTTGAATGCATGATATTCTATTTAAGATTGAATATAACTGGAAGTTTACGAGATACAAGATGACCTAAATTTTTTATACAATTTGTAATAGCTAAATAGTTGTTTAAATCGATAAAAGCTCAGAAATTCTTGGTCTATAGTGTTTCTTCTTTAATTAACAAGATAGTGCCCCTCCCTCCCCCATTTAAATTCGTAAACTGAACACTTCTCAAGTTTTTTTTATGGACATACATCGAATACAGAATTCCGAAGTTGAAGAAAATCTAGACTCCTTCAAATATCAAGTTGAAAGGCATTTGAATACATGATATTATATTCAAGATTATTGACTGGAAGTTTACGAGATGGAAGATGACCTACATTTTTCTACAATTTGTAATAGCTAAATATTTGTTGAAATCAATAAAAGCTCAGAAATTCTTGGTCTATAGTGTTTCTTCTTTAATTAACAAGATAGGTCCCCCCCCTCCCTTCCCCATTTAAATTCGTAAACTGAACACTTAAGTTTTTTTTTATAGACATACATCGAATACAGAATTCCGAAGTTGAAGAAAATCCAGACTCTTCCAAACATGTTGAAAGCTAAGACATTTGAATGCATGATATTCTTTTCAAGATTGAATATAACTGGAAGTTTACGGGATAGAAGATGACCTAAATTTTTATACAATTTGTAATAGCTAAATAGTTGTTAAAATCAATAAAAGCTCAGAATTTGTCTATTGTGTCTCTTCTATAATTGATAGGATAGTATCACCCCCCCCCCTATTTAAATTCGTCTAAACATTTCTCGAGTTTTCTTATAGACATACTTCGAATACAGGATTCTGAAGTTCAGGAAAATCTGCACAGATATCAAGTTGAAATTTCATTCATGCACGGTTGAATAAAATTATGTGGAAGTATTCATTTTGTAAAACTTGTAAATAGCTAATCATTGAATGAAAGTGTAAAAATCTTCATGGATATTGACTTGAAAGACGTTTCAATTCGTGATGTCCTACTCAAGACTGAACAAACGAGAATTTTACAATCTCGAAGATTGCTTGATTTTTTTCGAACTTGTAATAAGTAAATGTTTCTTGAACATCAATAAAAGCTCAAAATCGTTGTGGCCTATGTGTTTCCTCTCTAATTGATAGGATTGGTATTAAGGGTGGGGTCCCCAACTATATAAACTCGTACATTAAACACTTTTTCAAGTCTCTTTTAGACTTTCGTCTAATGCAGAGTTCAGAAGTTCAAGAAATGTAAGCGGACATCAAAGTTAAAAGACTGTTTATTCACTTCATATGATGTTCCATTCAAGATTCAACGAAACCAGAGGTTCATGATATGGAAGATGCTTCAATTTTGTAAAACTTGTAATAGCTAAAGATTTTTGTGGAAAATCAATAAAAAGCTCAAACATTTGTTTCCTTGTTTTCTTCTCTAATTGATATAATTAATATTAAGGGTTGGGTCCCCCAACTATTCCAATTAGTACACTAACATTTTTTTCCAAGTTATCCTAGATTTCACCCAATGCAGAATTCAGAATTGCAAGAAATGAATGTTCCATTCAAAATTCAACGAAACCAGAGGTTTATGATTATAGAAGATACTTCAATTTTGTAAAACTTGTAATAGCTAAATTATTTGTTGAAAAAATCAATAAAAGCTAAAACGTTTGTCTCTGTTTTTTCTTCTCTAATTGATAGGATTAGCTTAGGGTGGGGATCCCCAAACTGTTTAAATTCTTTTGCTAAACACTTTTTATAGTTTGTTTTCTAGGTTTTATCGAATGCAGAATTCAGAAGTTCGTGGGAAATGATGTTCATGGATATCAAGTTTAATAAAGTTTATTCACTTCACGATGTTCCGTTCAAGTCCACCGAAACCCGAGATTTACAATATGGAAAATGCTTCGATTTTGTAAAACCTGTAATAGCTAATTTTTTTGTCGAAAATCAATAAAAGCTCAAGAATTGTGGTCTCGTGTTTTCTTCTTTAAATAATAGGATTAGTATTAAGGATGGGTCCCCCAATTATTTAAATTCCTAAACTAAACACTTTTCTAGTTCTTTTAAGATGCAGAATTGAGAAGTGCAAAACTATGTTCCTGCATATCGGTTTGAAAGACATATATTCATTTCATGATGTCCTGTTCAAGACTCGCAAAAACCACAGGCTTACGCGATATGTGGAAAAATTTTCTTAAACTTGTAATAGCTAAATATGTTGTTGAAAATCAATAAAAGCTCGAACACTTTGGTCTTTGCTTTTCTTCTCTAATTATAGTATTAATGGCGGGGTCCCCGAATATTTTAATTCCTACACTAACACTTTTTCTAGTTGTTATTTTTTCAGATTCGTATCGAATGCAGAAGTTGAAGAACAATTTCAATGAAGATCAAGTTGAAAGACGTTTATTCACTTCATGTTTTCTTAAAGATTTTAAACATGTGATGTTTTGCAATATGGAAAATGCTTCAATTTTGTAAAACTTGTAATAGCTAATTTTGTTGAACGGTCAATAAATGCCTTGGTCTGGTGTTTTCATTAAGGATTATTAAGGCCAGAGTTCTCCCCAGTTATACCATTCGTACACTAAACACTTTTCAAGTTGTTTTTTTTTTAGATTTTCATTGAATGCATAATTGAGATGTTCAAGACCTGAAAAAAACCAGACGTTTTCGATATTGAAGATGGACTGGAAGTAAGTAAAATTTCAAAATCTTTGCTCAAGTGCATGTCTCCTTATCTAATTAAAAATTAAAGGTGGGGGGTCCCACACGGAATATTTAAACTCTCCTACCCTAATACATTCCAACTTTTCTTATATAGATTCTCATCGAATGCAGAATTCAAAATTTCAAGAAAATTCTGGCTCTAAAAGATCTTTCCATTTATGATTTCCTGTACAAAACTGAACCAGAAGTGTGCAATATGGTAGGTGGATTTGTAATAGATAAATGGGCTCAAAATATTTGGTCAAGTGTTTCCTCCTCTAATTGATAAGTTAGTATTAAGAACGAGTTTGCGCCGACTGACTCAATAACTTTACTTGTTAGATTTTTATCGAATGCAGAATTCAGGGCTATCCATAGGAGTCTCGCGTGTCCTAGTGTTGAAGACCGAAGAAACGAGTTACGACACGGAAGAAGACACAGACATTGAAAAGCTTATTATATCTAATTGACTATACAGTGTGTATCAAAATAATTCGAATCCAAATTTGACAGACTGCTGTTTATAAAATACTAAAGTAAACCATATAATTTTTATATGGCAATAAAGAATAGCCTATTAGGTTTCCGATTATATCGTTCTTATATCAATAAGATCAAAAATGACCGAGAAATCGTGTGTTAAAACTGGTTGCTCGAAATCAAATTTTTCCGCCGATGGGAGTTCGAAGTGAGACGTACAAACAAAAGATAATGCAAATTTAATTAATCAACAAACTGTTATGTAGCAAAATTTACATAAATTCGTGTTCATTTAAAGAGATTTAAGCTCCCATGCCTTCAACATGTTGAACGAGAAGAAATTCGCGTTAAATTTGCATTTTAGTTTTCAGTGATGATTAGCATTTCAAAGCCTTGTGGGACTAACTTTGAAGGAAAAAATGTCCAATTCCCATCGGCGGAAAATTGTGATTTTTATGGACTTTTTTTGTCAAAGCAATACTCCTTCATTTTCCAACTAAATGACGCATACAGCATGTCATTTGAAAGGTAAATAAATGAACTTTACAATGATGTAAAAACCAACCGAATTTGTCAAATATATTCTGCGTTATTACACGCCAAATTTGGATTCGAATTATTTTGATACACACTGTACTGTAGTTATAATCAAAACTGTTAGAGAGACATGTACAATAACTAAATATTACTTTTAAATAAATAAATGAATATAAAACGCATCCTACAGGTGCCCAAAAAGCCCCAAACCATTGAAATAACGTATTGTTAGAATTTGAATGCCTTAACACTCTACTGAACTCAAAAGTGCATAAAAGCTTGACAAGTAAATTTTATGTATAAAGAAACTGTTTAAGAAGCTTATTTAAATTCCCAAGAACATCGATTCAAAATCGTGCGCTTTACAAAGATATTTTAATTTGTTAAGTCAATATTTATAATATATGCACCCTGTCAATATTCCACGCATCTTGTACCTCTTGAGTGCTAAGCATTCCAATTCTAACAATATGTTATTTCAATAGTTTGGCATGTTTTTATTTTTGGGACACCCTGTATAGTGTTTTCCTATATGAAGATGATGTACATATAATGTAAAAGATTAACTATTGTTGGTTTGCAATCAATCCTTTGAGACTTGTAAGACAAGACGACATGTTGGATGAAAACACACCCTAATTAATACAATATAACTGCTAATGAGATTCTTTTGTTAGTGTTCCAAATATCTATATATTGTATTCTAGACTCGCGACCATGCCTGGATAAGCCTCTTTTCCATCGATCGAATGACGTCGAGTGCAAACCAAGTTTTTTCAAAAGGTAATTAGAGACCTTACGATTTTAGGAGTGCAACGCAACGGCTACCAATACAATATAGATCATTGAAAAGAATTGAGTAATTACAATAAATGAATAATTTAGACATTGTCCTCGCTCTGTTTACAACGCCAAATCACATATTTTCACGTGTTGATACAACGGCTGCATTCCAAACCACAACAAGTGCAACTTCAAACTGGGCTTAGCAGAACTCTTCCCAACCATAAAACACATGTCTTCAACTTCTAAGACTGTATTAAATTCATACGATTGATAACATACGACGAACTATCGACTACCATTTATTTGAAGGAGTTTGTTTTGGCCGTCGCCGCCGCGGTTGCCGTCTATCGTAAGGTCTCTATTGTATTTAAGACGATGGCTATTCCCGGATAAGCCTCTTCCATTTATCACAAGGTGGACTTGCAAGTTCCCCTGCGAGCGCTTTCATCTATTCGGAATGCTCGACAGTGTACCTACTTGGCACTTGCAGCGAGCTTGGAGTTGGTTTTTGCGATGATGGCAAAGCCGGAGCACTTGTACCTGTAGAAGTCGGGGCGGTTGTTCAAAGCTGGATTAGCGCTAATCCCTGGGTTAAAATTAAACCTGCTGCTTTAGTTTCGGTATTTCTGCACATCTATTTGTTTCAAAACTCCAGAGAAGAAAAATCTCATTGGTCCAAACACGATTTATGAAGAGAAGTGTTTCCAAGTTTATAGAAACAAGTTGTTGGGAAGTTTTCTCTGAATTTTAGGTTCACCTACAGGGCTCAAACTAACCGAATTTTGAACAACCGGCCCAGATACATAATGGTAATTTTTCAATATTAATACATCCAGATGATCTTGATACGCGGAAAAGTACTGGCACTAGTTGTCAAATAGAAATCCATTTTATGATTAAAACAACTGAATATCTCCTGTAATATACTTTATTTCGATTCCATATTTTAGTCAGAGCTATAGTTCTCATAACCAAACATAGTTACAAAATTTCAACTAGTTTCATAAAGAACAACGAAAGATATAATTGACTGAACACATCAAAATGGATTTCTATTCGGACAACCCTTTATTCTGAGCGCTGATTGGCTAAAATACGAACACGAGATCACCTGGATGATGACGATAAAGTTTCAAAAATTGTCCTGTTTGGAACCAGAAATGGTTTCCAGGTTGGATTCCTGGAGCAATTTAATATTCCCAAAAATTAACATCAATAATAAACTAAAGGTTAATAGCCCACGTCACCGAAAACGACCATGAAATAACGCAATATATAACATTTCAATTTGCTAAAGGGAGCAAAAGATAGGGGGAAAGCTAACTCCTTATAATCCTGCCCCTTTTATATTTTGGAAAAAGGGTAAACAATGGCAAAAAAACGTATAGGCTAACTCCTAAATATTTGTCTATTTTTAGCCCGGCCCTTTTGTTTTTTGAAAAATGGCAACAAAAGTAAAGGCTAGCCCTTTTTTCAGAAGGGCTATAGCCTCACTTTTTTGCCATTTTTTAGCGCTTTTACAAAAATGAAAAAAGTGGCTAAAAGTGGACGAAAGATTAAGGCTATATTCTGATGAATAAGTTGCAACAGGCTTGCAGCAATGAGTAAGTGGTCTCGAGGTAAAGACTATACAGGCTATGTAATGTACCATGCATTCTGGCTCAAATACCACAAAAGTCGTTTTGTGATTTAAAATGGCTGATTATTAATTATACAGCGTAAAATAAAAGGTTAGGGTAAATAGATTTGTTGCTCTGTTTTAACAACAAGCTCGTGGTCTGGCAGTGAAGTCTAAAAAGGATGTGCAATTACTGCAATGAACAGCTGTGGTTCAACTGTTCAAGTACTTTCTCGTGCAGTTGAAAAACTAATATTAAGTTAATATTATGCGTTTCCGCATCTTATGCTCTATTGAATTCCAAGGCCCCTTGTGGCAAAAACTAGAATTTGCCATGGTCTGAAAATTGTATTTTTGGAATCTACGTTCAATAGCCTTTCTGTCGGTGCCTCATCCTTGCATAAATAGACAGTTCGTGAACATAAAAAGCAAGTTTATCCAGCATTGTAAGCGAAAAAGACGTGAAAGTTAATATTATGCGTTTTCGAATCTTATGTTCTATTGAATTTCAAGGCTCCTGTAGCAGAGAGTTGAATTTGGGCTAGTGTCAAAACTGTATTTTTAGAATCTACGATTAATGGGCTTTCTGACGATACCCTACTCGTGCATCAGATCATTTGTCCGTGAAAGTAAAAAGCAGGTTTTTCCGGCTGTGTAATGGAAAAAAACCTGAAAGTTATTATTATGCGTTTTCGAATCTTATGTTCTATTGAATTCCAAGGCACCTTTTGGCAAAAACTAGAATTTCGCACGGTCTGAAAATTGTATTTCTGGAATCTACGTTAAATACGCTTTCTGTCGCTGCCTCATTCTTGGATAAATAAACAGTTCTTGGACATAAAAAGCAAGTTTTTCCTGCTGTGTAAGCGAAAAAGACGTGAAAGTTAATATTATGCGTTTTCGAATCTTATGTTCTATTGAATTCCAAGGCACCTTTTGGCAAAAACTAGAATTTGGCACGGTCTGAAAATTGTATTTCTGGCATCTACGGTAAATACGCTTTCTGTCGATGCCTCATTCTTGGATAAATAAACAGTTCTTGGACATAAAAAGCAAGTTTTTCCAGCTGTGTAAGCGAAAAAGACGTGAAAGTTAATATTATGCGTTTTCGAATCTTATGTTCTATTGAATTCCAAGGCACCTTTTGGCAAAAACTAGAATTTGGCACGGTCTGAAAATTGTATTTCTGGCATCTACGTTAAATACGCTTTCTGTTGCTGCCTCATTCTTGGATAAATAAACAGTTCTTCGACATAAAAAGCAAGTTTTTCCAGCTGTGTAAGCGAAAAAGACGTGAAAGTTAATATTATGCGTTTTTGAATCTTATGTTCTATTGAATTTCAAGGCACCTTTTGGCAAAAACTAGAATTTGGCACGGTCTGAAAATTGTAATTCTGGCATCTACGGTAAATACGCTTTCTGTCGATGCCTCATTCTTGGATAAATAAACAGTTCTTGGACATAAAAAGCAAGTTTTTCCAGCTGTGTAAGCGAAAAAGACGTGAAAGTTAATATTATGCGTTTTCGAATCTTATGTTCTATTGAATTCCAAGGCCCCTTTTGGCAAAAACTAGAATTTGGCAAGGTCTGAAAATTGTATTTCTGGAATCTATACGTTAAATACGCTATCTGTCGCTGCCTCATTCTTGGATAAATAAACAGTTCTTCGACATAAAAAGCAAGTTTTTCCAGCTGTGTAAGCGAAAAAGACGTGAAAGTTAATATTATGCGTTTTCGAATCTTATGTTCTATTGAATTCCAAGGCACCTTTTGGCAAAAACTAGAATTTGGCACGGTCTGAAAATTGTAATTCTGGCATCTGCGGTAAATACGCTTTCTGTCGATGCCTCATTCTTGGATAAATAAACAGTTCTTGGACATAAAAAGCAAGTTTTTCCAGCTGTGTAAGCGAAAAAGACGTGAAAGTTAATATTATGCGTTTTCGAATCTTATGTTCTATTGAATTTCAAGGCTTCTGTAGCAGAGAGTTGAATTTGGGCTAGTGTCAAAACTGTATTTTTGGAATCTACGATCAATGGGCTTTCTGCCGATATCCTACTCGTGCATCGGAACATTTGTCCGCGGAAGTAAAAAGCAGGTTTTTCCGGCTGTGTAATGGAAAAAAACCTGAAAGTTATTATTATGCGTTTTCGAATCTTATGTTCTATTGAATTGCAAGGCACCATTTGGCAAAAACTAGAATTTGGCACGGTCTGAAAATCTAGTTTTTGCTACAGGAGCCTTGAAATTCAATAGAACATAAGGTTCGAAAAAGCATAATATTAACTTTCACATCTTTTTCGATTACACAGCTGTTATCGAAAAATGTATGGTTTGTCACTATTTGTTACTTGCATTATTTCAATCTAGTTTGTAAATCTCAGAAGCGAAGGGTAGAACTTGCCGATAGGCAACCGATAGGCAATAATCCAATAATATACGTTTCAAAAAAGACAAGAAAGCTTTTAGTTTTGCAGAGTTACATTCTCAAATGTTTAAGGCATGCATGCACTAATAAAATCAAAGTATCATGAAATGATTTGAATAAACCACACCACATATATAATGCAATTTTCTTTGTGGAAGTGAAGAATTAAGATTACATCACTGACACGGAAAGTTGACGATTCAACGGACAATAGTCAATACGCTTCCCAACACATTCCATGGATTTTTTACTAATCCTATAGTTTATTGTTAGCAAGTGATTACTGTGGCGGCTATTGTTAACAATCGTATTGATAAAATTTGCAAGCGATTGTTTTTATAATATGTTATGTGAATGTAAACTGCCAGAAGAATACGACAACATGATTTTATGCGATCTCTGTGGGCAATGGTTCCACTTTAAAGATGTAGAATATGACACTATTCTAAGTACCTCAAATGAGTGTTTATGCAGACTGTGCACACCAACAGCTGCTAAGAAGCCTAAAATGTGTATGTAATTTTGTCTCCTTGTAATAAATAAATAAATCACACAATAAATCTTTTCAACTTGCAATCGTTTTTTTTTTAGATCAAAAATTCAAAATTTATATGGGGGGGCGAAATTCCTAAAGGGGGGCGATATTCCTAGGAGATTCGCCCCCCGGGGCTGTATAAACTTAAAACATTAACTTTCATGTCTTTTTCGATTATACTGCTGGAAAACTACGGTCAATAGGCTTGCTGTCGATGCCTTATTCGTGCATCACTAGGCCGTCCGTGGAGATAAAAAGCAGGTTTTTCCGGCTGCGTAATCGAAAAAGACGTGAAAGTTAATATTATGTTGTTTCGAAAAACAGTATAATAAACAGTATATCGCATTATTTAACAACGATGCCTGGCATTAAAATGTTTTCGACACAACCAGGAATCGATCCTAGCTTCACGTACTTGCAACACTTTGTCCAAAAATACAATTTTCAGCCTAGCCCAAATTCGGGTCTCTGCTATAGGAGCGTTGAAATTCAATAGAACATATGGTTCGAAACAGCATGCATCATATTAACTTTCACGTTTTTTTCGATTACACAGCCGGAAAACTTGCTTTTTATGTCCACAGACTCTCTAGTTCTACAAGAATGAGGCAGCGAGAGAAAGGCTATTGACCGTAGATTCCAAAAATACAATTTTCAGACCGTGCCAAATTCTAGTTTCTGCTACAGGAGCGTTGAAATTCAATAGAACATAAGGTTCGAAACAGCATAATATTAACTTTCACGTCTTTTTCGATTACAAAGCTGGAAAAACCTGCTTTTTACCTCCACGGACAAGTCTACTGATGCACGAGTTAAGTATCGACAGAAAGCCTAATGATCATAGATTCCAAAAATACAATCTTCAGGCCAGCCCAAATTCGGGTCTTTGCTATAGGAGTGTTGAAATTCAATAGAACATAAGGTTCGAAACAGCATGCATAATATTAACTTTCACGTCTTTTTCGATTACACAGCTAGAAAACTTGCTTTTTATGTCCACGAACTCTGTAGTTCTACAAGAATGAAGCATCGACAGAAAGGACAAGAGGACAACGTTCCTGGCGGTGAGGACAAGGTTCCTGGCGGTGAGGACAAGGTTCCTGGCGCTGAGGACAAGGTTCCTGGCGATGAGGACAAGGTTCCTGGCGCTGAGGACAAGGTTCTTGGCGGGGAGGACAAGGTTCCTGGCGGTGAGAACAAGGTTCCTGGCGGTGAGAACAAGGTTCCTGGAGGTGAGAACAAGGTTCCTGGCGGTGAGAACAAGGTTCCTGACGGTGAGGACAAAGTTGCTGACGGTGAGGACAAGGTTCCTGGCGCTGAGGACAAGGTTCCTGGCAGTGAGGGCAAGGATCCTGGCGGTGAGGACAAGGTTCCTGACGCTGAGTACAACGTTCCTGGCGCTGAGGACAAGGTTGCTGGCGCTAAGGACAAGGTTCCTGGCGCTGAGGACAAGGTTCCTGGCGCTGAGGACAAGGTTCTTGGCGGGGAGGACAAGGTTCCTGGCGCTGACGACAATGTTCCTGGCGGTGAGGACAAAGTTCCTGGCGGTGAGGACAAGGTTCCTGGCGGTGAGGACAAGGCTTCTGGCGGTGAGGACAAGGTTCCTGACGGTGAGAACAAGGCTCCTGGCGCTGAGGACAACGTTTATGGCGCTGAGGACAAGGTCCTGGCGCTGAGGACAAGGTTCCTGGCGGTGAGAACAAGGCTTCTGGCGGTGAGGACAAGGTTCCTGACGGTGAGGACAAGGTTCCTGACGGTGAGGACAACGTTTCTGGCGGTGAGGACAAGGTTCCTGACGGTGAGGACAAGGTTCCTGGCGGTGAGGACAAGGTTCCTGGCGGTGAGGACAAGGTTCCTGACGGTGAGAACAAGGTTCCTGACGCTGAGGAGAGGTTCCTGGCGGTGAGGACAAGGTTCCTGGCGCTGAGGACAAGGTTCCTGGCCGTGAGAACAAGGTTCCTGGCGCTGAGGACAAGGTTCCAAGCGGTGAGGACAAGGTTCTTGACGTTGAGGACAAGGTTCCTGGCGGTGAGGACAAGGTTCCTGACGGTGAGGACAAGGTTCCTGGCGGTGAGGACAAGGTTCCTGACGGTGAGGACAAGGTTCCTGGCGCTGAGGACAAGGTTCCTGGCCGTGAGAACAAGGTTACTGGCGCTGAGGACAAGGTTCCTGGCGGTGAGGACAAGGTTCCTGACGGTGAGGACAAGGTTCCTGGCGGTGAGGACAAGCTTCCTGGCGGTGAGGACAAGGTTGCTGACGGTGAGGACAAGGTTCCTGGCGTTGAGGACAAGGTTGCTGACGGTGAGGACAAGGTTCCTGGCGCTGAGGACAAGGTTCCTGACGGTGAGGACAAGGTTCCTGGCGGTGAGGACAAGGTTCCTGGCGGTGAGGACAAGGTTCCTGACGGTGAGGACAAGGTTCCTGGCGCTGAGGACAAGGCTCCTTGCGCTGAGGACAACGTTTATGGCGCTGAGGACAAGGTCCTGGCGCTGAGGACAAGGTTCCTGGCGGTGAGGACAACGTTTATGGCGCTGAGGACAAGGTCCTGGCGCTGAGGACAAGGTTCCTGGCGGTGAGGACAAGGCTTCCGGCGGTGAGGACAAGGTTCCTGACGGTGAGGACAAGGCTTCTGGCGGTGAGGGCAAGGTTCCTGGCGGTGAGGACAAGGTTCCTGACGGTGAGGGCAAGGTTCCTGGCGGTGAGGACAAGGTTCCTGACGGTGACGACAAGGTTCCTGGCGCTAAGGACAAGGTTCCTGGCCGTGAGAACAAGGTTCCTGGCGCTGAGGACAAGGTTCCTGGCAGTGAGGACAAGGTTCCTGACGGTGAGGACAAGGTTCCTGGCGGTGAGGACAAGGTTCCTGGCGGTGAGGACAAGGTTCCTGACGGTGACGACAAGGTTCCTGGCGCTAAGGACAAGGTTCCTGACCGTGAGAACAAGGTTCCTGGCGCTGAGGACAAGGTTCCTGGCAGTGAGGACAAGGTTCCTGACGGTGAGGACAAGGTTCCTGGCGGTGAGGACAAGGTTCCTGGCGGTGAGTACAAGGTTCCTGACGGTGAGGACAAGGTTCCTGGCGGTGAGGACAAAGTTCCTGGCGGTGAGGACAAGGTTCCTGACGGTGAGGACAAGGTTCCTGGCGCTGAGGACAAGGTTCCTAACGGTGAGGACAAGGTTCCTGGCGGTGAGGACAAGGTTCCTGGCGGTGAGGGCAAGGTTCCTGGCGGTGAGAACAAGGTTCCTGACGGTGAGGACAAGGTTCCTGGCGCTGAGTACAAAGTTCCTGACGGTGAGGACAAGGTTCCTGGCGCTCAGGACAAGGTTGCTGACGGTGAGGACAAGGATCCTGGCGCTGAGGACAAGGTTGCTGACGGTGAGGACAAGGTTCCTGGCGCTGAGGACAAGGTTCCTGACGGTGAGGACAAGGTTCCTGGCGGTGAGGGCAAGGTTCCTGGCGGTGAGGACAAGGTTCCTGACGGTGAGGACAAGGTTCCTGGCGCTGAGGACAAGGCTCCTGGCGCTGAGGACAACGTTTATGGCGCTGAGGACAAGGTCCTGGCGCTGAGGACAAGGTTCCTGGCGGTGAGGACAAGGCTTCTGGTGGTCAGGACAAGGTTCCTAACGGTCAGGACAAGGTTCCTGGCGGTGTAAGCAAGGTTCCTGGCGCTGAGGACAAGGTTCCTGGCGCTGAGAACAACGTTCCTGGCGCTGAGGACAAGGTTCCTGGCGCTGAGGACAAGGTTCCTGGCGCTGAGGACAAGGTTCCTAGCGCTGAGGGCAAGGTTCTTGGCGGGGAGGACAAGGTTCCTGGCGCTGAGGAGAATGTTCCTGGCGGTGAGGACAAGGTTCCTGGCGGTGAGGACAAGGCTTCTGGCGGTGAGGACAAGGTTCCTGACGGTGAGGACAAGGTTCCTGACGGTGAGGACAAGGTTCCTGGCGCTGAGGACAAGATTCCTGGCGCTGAGGACAAGGTTCCAGGCGCTGGGGACAAGGTTCCTGGCGATGAGGACAAGGTTCCTGGCGCTGAGGACAAGGTTCCTAGCGCTGAGGGCAAGGTTCTTGGCGGGGAGGACAAGGTTCCTGGCGCTGAGGAGAATGTTCCTGGCGGTGAGGACAAGGTTCCTGGCGGTGAGGACAAGGCTTCTGGCGGTGAGGACAAGGTTCCTGACGGTGAGGACAAGGTTCCTGACGGTGAGGACAAGGTTCCTGGCGCTGAGGACAAGATTCCTGGCGCTGAGGACAAGGTTCCAGGCGCTGGGGACAAGGTTCCTGGCGATGAGGACAAGGTTCCTGGCGCAGAGGACAAGGTTCCTGGCGCTGAGGACAAGGTTCCTGGCGGTGAGGACAAGGCTTCTGGCGGTGAGGATAATGTTCCTGACGGTGAGGACAAGGTTCCTGGCGGTGAGGGCAAGGTTCCTGGCGGTGAGGACAAGGTTCTTGACGGTGAGGACAAGGTTCCTGCCGCTGAGGACAAGGTTCCTGGCGGTGAGGACAAGATTCTTGGCGGTGAGGACAACGTTCCTGGCGCTGAGGACAAGGTTCCTGGCGCTGAGGACAAGGTTCCTGGCGCCGAAGACAAGGTTCCCGGCCGTGAGAACAAGGTTCCTGGCGCTGAGGACAAGGTTCCTGGCGGTGAGGACAAGGTTCCTGACGGTGAGTACAAGGTTCCTGGCGGTGAGGACAAGGTTCCAGGCGGTGAGGACAAGGTTCCTGACGGTGAGGACAAGGTATATGGCGCTGAGGAAAAGGTTCGTGGCGCTGAGGACAACGTTTCTCGCGCTGAGGACAAGGTTCCTGGCGCTGAGGACAAGGTTCCTGGCGGTGAGAACAAGGCTTCTGGCGGTGAGGACAAGGTTCCTGACGGTGAGGACAAG